AATGACTCACTCATTTTCTCTGCCTAAATACTGTAGTCAAATTATTATTATTATTATTATTATTATTATTATTATTTATTATTAAAACCAATATAGATTATCTGGCAATTCTACTTATACAACAATATATTTATTTTAAAATCTTGTCGTACCCAGCAGTGTTGCCACCTCCTGCCTTCCCTGTGTTTACCCTAGCATATGTTGCTCCCCCTCCCCACACCCCCAATCTCCCCCAGTCACCCCTCTCCCCACGATCCTCCTCTCCTTACTGCCTCTTATCCACAGTGTACTCAGATTACACTGTGGGATAATCGTGATGAAAAAAGAAATGAATGGTTTCAGAAGAGGAGAGAAAGAAGGAAAAAGGTGGGATGGAAGGAAAATGAAAAAGGGAAGGAACAGCTAGCCATCACTCATCCACAGTAGATGATGTTAAAGGCATGTTCTCTCTCTCTCTCTCTCTCTCTCTCTCTCTCTCTCTCTCTTTCTCTTTCTCTCTCTCTCTCGACGGTACCTGAAATGTTAGTTACATTTTCTGAAGAAGAGAATAAGAGTGTGTGTGTGTGTGTTATGGCAGATATTAACCGAAAATGTACCTGAAACGGTTGAAAGAAACCCAGGCGTGGGGTTGGACGTGAGCACCAGCTGAGAGAAGTGGAGAAAGAGAGAGAGAGAGAGAGAGAGAGAGAGAGAGAGAGAGAGAGGTAAAGACAGGAGGAGGAGAGAAAGAAAGGATGGAGAAAGAAAGATATGCAATGGAGAAGAGTGGAGAGAGGCCTGGGAGAAAAAGGGAGGGTGAAAGAGAAGAATGGAAAGAAGACAGAGAAAATGCCAAAAAAATAATCAAGGCGGAGGAGAATGAGAGGGGAGGGAGGAGAAAAGTGAAAAACAGTATGAGAATGAGGAAAGATGGGGAGCAAGGGAAAGGGGATGATTGAAGAAATACAAAAGTAAGAGAAAGAAATTGAAAACAAACGCAACAAAGGCAACAAAGCAGAGGAAAACAACAAACTTTAAGCAACATAGCGATAATACTGATCTACGTCACTGATAAACAACATTAAAAAAACTGCAAAGTGATTAATAAACCACAAAGAGAGTGATAGAGAAATAAAAGCAAAAGAATGGTCATAAATATATAAACAGACGGGCAGACAGAGGGGAGATAAAACAAAAGAGAGTTACAGAAACAGTTGACAGCCCGTCTACCACTTAACCGTATACGAGACCAGATAGGACAAGGTATTGAAAGATGACAAATAGGCAGGAATGGAGAGATAAACAGGGAGGAGAGACAGAGGCAGGGAAAAAGGTGCGGCAATATTTATTTTTCTCAATGCAAACCTGTTGTTGCGTAACACACACACACACACACACACACACACACACCACTCATACACACACTGGGTGCCCCCAAGCCTAGTTACTCGGCCACACGGAGAATCTCATGCTTTTAGCCAGGATCAACACACAGTGCCTAGTGTTTCCTCTTGTTAAATAGACCCTGTGAGAGAGAGAAGTCTTATCTGTGCATCTTTGTTTGTTTGGTTGTGTGGTGGCTCTGCATTCCGGAAGTATGTGTGTGTGTGTGTAATATATTTAAAATTACGTCGTCGAGATAGGCTCGCTAATAGGCTGTGCCTCAGTAAACTCCAACATAGGCACACCGGCAACGACCATGTTTGAAGGTGTGAACAGTGGACATGTGTGTGTGAGACTCCGGATTGACTGTGTGTGTGTGTGTGTGTGTGTGTGGATATTATTATTATTCGTGTGTGTGTATGTGTGTGTGTGTGTGTGTGTGTGTGTGTGTGTGTGTGTGTGTGTGAGTTTTTAAAGTTTGTGAGTGGGATGAGAGGATGGAAGAATGGAAGGTGTGGGGTTGGTGGGAGGACATGTGGAAAAAAAAAAAAATCAGATTGGTTGGTTGCCAGCATGTTGGTTTGCCGATCTCAAAGTCACTGTGTGTGTGTGTGATTGTGTGTGTGAGTGCATGGTGTGTTCAGAGTTAAGAACATGCCTAGCTGATTTCTATCACCATCCCCGGCCACTCACCTCACCACCCTCAGCTCACTCCCGGCCTCTCCTCACCACCCCCGGCCTCACCTCCCACCACGGCCCTAGCTCCTACTGCCTCGGCCTCTCCTACTGCACCTCAGCCTCACCTCCACCACCCCATCTCCTCCACCACCCCTGCCTCTCTCCACCACCCCTGGCCCATATCTCCTCCACCCCCCCAGCCTCACCTCACCACCCCGGCCTCTCCTCCCACCACCCCCTGCCTCTCTCCTGCCCCCCCAGCCCTGTCTCTCACCACCCTCAACTCACCTCTACACCCCTCAGCCTCCTCACCACACCCTCAGCCTCACCTCACCATCTCCACGGCCTTTCTCCACCACCCCCGGCCTCATCTCACCACCCCTGACCTCTCTCCTAACCCAAGCCTCCCTCACCCACCCCTGCACCTCTCCTCATCACCCCTGGTTCCCTATCTCCTCCTACCCCAGGCTGACACTTACCCACTCTCCTGCCTCCCCTAGCCACCCCTCAGCCTGACCTCACCACTCTGTTGCCCCCCGGCCGCTCCTCCCACCACCCCCGGCCTCCCACCACCCCGGCCCTGCCTCCTCACCACCCCCCGGCTCCTTATCCTCCACCACCCGGCTCCTTGCCTCCTCACCTACCTCAACCTCACCTCCACCACCCTCAGCCTCACCTCCACCCCCCGGCCTTTTCCTCCACCGCACCCCCGGCCTTCCTCACCACCCCTGGCCCCTATCCTCCACCACACCTGTCCTCTCCTCCCCATTGTCTCTCTACCCTTGGCTCTCCTCTCCCTCCAGACCTCCTTTACCCTCCCTAGTCTGGCCTCCTCTTACCCCCCAGCTCCTCCTCTCTACCTCTCCCACTTTACCCCCCCCCCCCCCCCTGTCACTGGTCCCTGCCGTCCCACCCACTTGTTGACCCCAGGCAATAGTGTCAACCTTGCAACTTCTGTGCCTATACCTCCTCCTACCACGGCCTTCCGCCGCCCACCACCACCACTCACGTCCTCATGTCCAACCCTCCTTGCCCTTTGCAGTCACTCTCCTTCCTCACTCTGCCTGGCCTTCTCCTGAGTACCACCTGCCCCTCTGACCTCTTCTGCCCTCTGAGCCCAAATGCCCCCTCTGCCCTCCAACATGCGTAACTTCTA